TAGTGCGTGCGCACCCCCACCCCCCCATGCTGAAATGGGCGGGACAGAAGCAAAAGGTGCTTCTTAAAGAGACAGAGGCCAATTTCAAGGCGTTTAGAAGAGGAAGTGATAAGATAAGTTTTTCTATTTAAACATAAAAACAGCATTTTAATAACAACTAAAGGTGACATAGATAATTTATTATGGTATAGTATTTAAAAATATGTCTGAGAAACACATAATATTGCCCCTTTAAAAAATGAAATCTGTGATTCTGTAACACGTGTGAGACGACTCACTACAATCTCAGTAGTTCATGAGGGCTCAGAACATGCCATTTCCATTTTTCTTCTGCACTTATCAGGAACTTGAAGGTCAACAGCAAATATTGCCCTCCCCACCAAAAAATAAAAATAAAAAAGAGGCAGATGGAATAAATTGCTACAGCAAACACATCTTACTCTTTTCTTTCAAATTGAAATGTGCTGGCAGTGAGGGGGAAGAGCAATTTGTGCTGCAAAAAAAAGAGTAGTTTAAATGAACACTTCCATACCTTTAAACTACTAAAAAAGAGGATGGGGAAGATGGAGAGAGACGCGAAGCGAGAACAGTCAAAGCAGATGGAGAAAAATACAACATTAAGGACAAAAATGGAGCGCAAGCAATTTAGATGAGGAGAGAGCGCAAAAGTAGGAAGCAATGGGAGGTGGCGGTGGTAGGGGTTGCTTTAGAAAACACAAAGTTTCCCCTCGTCTTAAACCCTTTTCTCTGACAGGATGAGTTATGCTTTGAGCCTCCCTTCATTTYTCTTTATAGTTCCCTAATGCAGCCAGATTATACAAGCCCCATCTGCAACACTGCACACAGCCAGTGCAGCCATAAAAAAAGAAAAAAAGCCTTTAAGGTGATGCGCAAAGTCCAGGGCTGAGTTTCGAGACAAAGTGCTTTCATTTGAGCTGATGAAAAAGGCATGATCAGACCTATTGATCTGTCTGCCTCACCAGCCATGGGCGACACTGAGCCAATTGTGCCAGTGTTTGCGGCGGGCTAATTAAAGTCTGTATTAATAGMTGCGGCAAGCCGCCAAGGCCCGAAGCGCGGCTGGGTTGCAAGTCCGCCACGCCGGCTGATTCACGATCACGGCCAATCACCGGCGCCTTCCTTACGCGCGCCACACCTATACACAAGTTCAAACGCAAGATTTATGAGATCAGATGCGGAGTGCGGTGTGGCAGAAAAGGGTAAACGTGAGGGCAGTCCTATCGAGCAGGAAAGGGGACAGAGAAAATTTAACCTGATTGAAATCATAAATAAAAGAATGAGTGTGGAGCTCTGTTTTTTCCCCATAGGCAGCCTTGTGTGCAGAGGACAACTATACAACAGAACACATTCCAGTTTGCAGCCTTTTAATAGGTATGAGACAAAAAAAATAAAAGTCCACAAATTGTTCTTTTTACAAGTGCAATGGATGGAGCTTGAAACAGCTGCYTTCAAGAAATATTAATGCTCAATTCCGATTTTATGCAAAAATCTGATTTTTTTTTCGCGTGGACGTTCACATTATATTTTTAATGCAACCTCCATTAGACTCCAGTGTGAACTCTCTGATTGATGCAACCTGCATGCATAGTAAAAGACATGATGTCACATTTACCACACTGTGTACAGAGGTAGCCTAAATATGGATGCTACATGTTAGCATGTCGATTGTGACGCTGCTGTGCTATTAGAGCTGATTAAATACCAGAGCTGCATTTTTTTTTGGAAAGGGAGCGACGTGTAGCGACATGTAAAGTAAGTTTAGTAGCAACAAAGCAAGTCGTTACTATGTTTCTGTGGATTCTCAGTCACAAAGGAAATGATGCATTACTGGAAAAAAGACGAAGCAACTGAACTTCTGTTCTGTGGCTGAAGACGTGAGAAGTTAAACTGCATCAGGTTGGTATCAATACTCTAAATACTTGGATCGAATCACTTTGCTAAAGTAAAAGTCAGATAAAACGCGACATGAGCATTCAGACTGTGATCGAATTGAAAAACATCAGATGTGTCCAATGTAGTACCACATACTGAAAGGGTCAGATTTGCAAAGAAAAAAAAATAGAATTTGTCACATTCATGAAAAAATCTGATAAGTTTTTTTTTTTTTTAATCGAACATGGGTTGCATTTGCCTGCCATGTGAACGTATAGTCTAAGTAAGAGATTGACACCAAGTTTATCTAGACTGGTGATCCATTTTAGTTAAAAAAAATTGCTCTAGTTTTTCCTGCTGGTTTACCACTGAAAACCTTGAAAACTTAAATGAGTCTGCAACAAAAAACACATGGACAAAACCTCTGTAGTTATTGAGATAACTGAATAAAACTTTCAGAAGTAGGAAATTGTGTTTTCTTATCATTGGCTACCTATATTCATTATAAAATTATTTATAAATTAATTAATTAACATTGTATGATCTAAAAACCCATCAGGCATTGGAAATAAGCACTAATATTAAAACTAGATAGAAATATAAACTGATTAATCAGGGATCAACGATTGTAATTGTTTTGTTTTGCTGTTGCCATAGCATTGTCACGTTTAGGATCTTTAAAACAACATGTCTACCTGATTAGATTGTCATGAAAGTCTGGCAGTATGTGGATAAAGCATTATATTTGGTGATATCTATCGTAAGACCGAACATGTTTTGAAGGTTGAACTAGAGCATCATTTTCATTATCAATAAGCTGCAAGAAGAAATGGCAGAATATGTTTGATCAAAGACATGGTAAAATATTAACTTCTTGCCTGCATCATACTAAAATATCAGAGTGAAATACCCCTGGGGACTGCTAAAAAAAGCAATAATTTGGTGCGGGAGGGGTCTGAAAACACAACATTCACTGTAAAACATACATCTGCAGAGCGTTCACATTGGGTGATAGGAAGAGTTTGTCACATTCCTACTTTTAATCAGACTACTCAAAAACAAACAAAAAAATCTAATTCAAAAACCACTTATTTCATTTTTTGTTTGTTTTTTAACACTCCACTCCTTGGCTCATCTGCTCTGTCTATCACCCTTCAATCAACATCTCAAAAACAAACACTATCAAAACCAAAAGGCACTTTAAAACTGATTCTTTTGCTGAGCCTCAATAATGGAGTCATCGTTGTTTTTGTTGTTGTTTTTTTTTTCTCCTTTCTCTATGCCCAGGCTGCTAGAGTGGTGGCTCTGCTGTAATTCCATCCACCAGAAAATGCATTTGCACTTGACACACACACACCAAATCCAAAACATTCACTTATGGCTGAACAAACACACGTGAAGCAACATGAGACCACTTCTAGCTGAATCCGAGGCTCGGTGGCTATGTGCACTTAGCGGTGCCACTCCATCAACAAGGCCACCATTAGGAACCTGCACATGCAAAACCTAGACTCACACATCAGTTGTCTGTGTCGTAATCCTGATTTTTTTTTGGTTTGTTTTGTTTTATTCCTTTTGTTAATGTCTTTCTTTATTTTACCGTGCTTTCCTTGCTTAAT